TTCCTTCCTTCCTTCCTTCCTTCCTTCCTTCCTTCCTTCCTTCCTCTTTAAATCCTAAGAAGAGGAGTATGGTGATTAGATCAGAGTCACTTGAAACAGGGATTAATGGCATGAAACTTTTAGGGTTAAACTCTGAGATTAGAGCCCTGTTGTTCCATTTAATGAAATATATGGAAAAATTCAGATGCCATCTCTTCTCCCCAACTCTGTATGTTTAGCCATAGACCTGAAGGAAAACTGTATCCATGTTTTCTTGAGCACAAAGACAGCTCTTCAATACAACCCAGGGCTGCGCTTCTGTTCATGCAAAACAGATACTGTTCTACTCCAGACTCCTAATTGAAGGAAGAGAACAGGGTGAGGCTGATTTGTACATGTTTTCTACCCAATTTCAAGTTTCCACACTTGGACAGTGAACTGATTTCTACTTATAAGATAGAATCATCATCAGCAGTTGTAGCATTGGTGAAAAGGAATCAGGAGGACTAGAAAAGGGTTGTGCCAACCTACATTCCCCATCCTACTTTTATGTGGTCCTACACAACTTACAAGTAATTAGTCCAGATTTCTGTCCTGAGTTTTCTTTCTTTCTTTCTTTCTTTCTTTCTTTCTTTCTTTCTTTCTTTCTTTCTTTCTTTCTTTCTTTCTTCCTTTCTTTCTATTAAGAGCCAGCTGAAGATGGAGTGACAGAAAGAAGTGGAGAAGGGGAAGAATTAGTAGAGGAATAGCCCAGCCTACCCACAGATTTATGCTTTCATGGCATGCACTTCACTCCCCCAATGGAATAAATACATTGGAGAAAATGCAAGGGAAGGAAATCCCTCTTTTAATGTATGACTGGAAAGAAGTTAACACCACTTGAGAGACATTATTTCCAAACCTTGGTCTCCCTTCTCCCCTTTTAAGCCTTGAATTCCATCTCTGCCATCTCGTCCTGGTATCCCTTTTTCAGCTGGCGCACATACCACCAAGGAACAAGCGTTCCAGCCTTGGGATACTTGCTTTAGCACTGGGGGCGATTCTGACAACACTGCTGTCACTAAAGCACCAAACAGCAGAAACACTAGCATTGCTGAGTGATAGGACCTGGAAAAAAATGAACAAGAGAGAGAGAGAGAGAGAGAGAATGAAGGAGTTAACTAAGATTGTTGCTAGCCCAAGTATATGTTCCATGGTATAACAATGTGTTCAAAATGTGTGTGCCTTTGAGTGGGTTTTGACTCCTGATGACTACATGGACAAATTCAAGCAGCTTTCTTGGCAACATTTTGAGAGTGGTTTGCCTTACAGTATGATGCGTTTATTACGCTTCTGAGCAAGGTATTTCTGAATTGACTGGAGGGATTCCATTTCTTTTCCACTGCACCTTTCCTTCTTTTCTGTTTCAAAAAGGCATTGCTTAACTGGGGCAACCAAATAACAATAATCTCGATTTATAGAAGGTCAGGAAAGGACCAGCTTCTTCATCATAGCACATAGCTCTCAACCCAGTGTTTTCTAGATCAGATTGTTAAATATGGATGGAGGTCAAGCTTCATTTCTGCTATAGTCCTCTGGCCTTTATCATAAGAAGAGCCAATGGAAGAGGAGCAAACCCAGCTCTTCCAAAGGAGACCTAGCCAGCTGCAATCACTTTGCAGGACAAGCTGTCCAGAACAAAGTAAGTTTGCAAAGTCCTACCATGGTTGGATAGTTGTATTTGCCCTTCTTTTGCAAAATGGTTATCATGTTAATCTCATAAAATCCATTGATGAGAATACTGGAAGCTGAATATGCTAAGTCATGGCATTGATCTGTAAAGCTCAGTGCAAGCTCCCACATTTGAGGTTCATGAAATCTGATAGCCACCTGGGGTGCAATCCATTTTGATTGACCCCCCATGTAGCATTTTACAAATGGAAAGACTGCTCTACATTGGCAACTTGATTTTGCCTGCAGAAATATAACTTCATTTATGTTTTGCTTGAAGTATTAAAGTTTTTCCCACCCACCTGCTTTGGTAGAAATCAATGGAAATGTACCTGCCAGTCTAGTGGCAACTGAAGGGCAAAAGATGGGAACTTTTCCCAGCAGGGACTGAGCCAGTGGGGACCATGTGAAAGTTGCCTTGAGGGCCCTTCCTGCCTGCCTGTTTGCTCTCCTAGAAGCTTTGCCACCAGTATCACCTCTCTTTTTGTGCCACCAATATACCTTCTAACCTCTGTCTACCATGGATGTCACAGTTATTGCAGTACTAAGCTGCACAGCCTCAGTTCCTAAGCCTTCCTAATTTCTCCTCCTCCTCCTCCTATTCCTCCCCCTTCTTCCCCTTCTTTTTTTCATTAACCTACCCAAAGCTGCAACCCAAACAGGCACCTTTAAAAAAAAAAAAAAGAGGTCTAGGACGTGTGAGAAGCAGGGACTTGATTGCAGAGTCTGCAATCTGATATTTGATGGCAGCCCAATTCTACATGATCTGCTCTGGGATGCAAGATTCAGTGTGGAATAAGATTCATCTAAGCAGCTAACCTTTTCTTCCTTTTTTTACAGGTATGGAGAGTTGGAATGTGAGTACAGGTTGAATTAATTATGCAATCACATGCTTTCTTATTTCATACGTGTTTTTTTTTTCCATACCTCTCCTGTAGAAACATTAAGAATGGAATGTTCTTTATTGTGCCACTTAGGCACTTGTGCTTGTTAGTAGCTAATTGATTACAGAGTTCATGCCTTGGGAGAAGACAATATGTGTACTGCTCTGCTTCCTTATCTCTCTTTGCAGTAAAATACAGAAACTGCTTCTTAGAATACCAATTAGAGCCTTGGAGTAAGTTGCAAATCAAAACTACTGTATTGCCTTTCAAGGATATGTCTGTATTGTGTTTATGCCTGTGTCTTTTTGTGCTTTTCTTGTTTTCTTATCAATTGTAACACAATTCTCTCTTCTGGGGTTTCCATTAAGGCATACGCATGCTCAGAGTGTCTTTGATCACTATTCTATATGTAGGGTTATGGATCTGGCTCTTGCTTCATCTGAGTACAAGAGACCAGTGAGTCACTGTAACCTGTTAGCTTTGGAGAAATAAAACTGTGTTTGGATCCTGTCCAGTTGCTGGTGTTTTGGGGGGAGTTTTCCCACCACAACTGAATGGGATGAATGTAGTGCGGCTGATAGGCCCTTTGGAGAATTAAAGACCCTGCCAAGTTTCTGTTGGATACCATCAAGGGCTTTACCACATTCAAATTTTGAAATACTCCCCTGTATATTTCTTTTAGGGCAGAGTCAGGGCAGACTTTTACTTTCCAGTTGCTTTACTGCCTCTGATCATTGGTTTCCTCACATGCCAGGAGGGCTGGCATAGTTATTTGGCAAGCTTAGGCCCTCCTGGAAGGAGCCCCTCATCACTGGCCTTGGTGGGTCTTCAGGCTGGGCAAGACAGAATGGACAACATGGCCTCAGAAGAAGGACTGCAGACTTACCTTCTGGAATGCTGCAGCTTTGCTCCTACTGTTAATGGGTTTTCTGGGGTGCCTAACTAGGTGGGAAACATAGTTCTTTTCTGAATGAACAGCCTCGCAATTTCCAGGATCGTAGCATCTTCTAGATTCACCCACCTATTGCTGTGCCAAAAATAACTGTGAGGTAGACACTTGAGTGATGGGATGAAGTAGCCAAAAGTCCCTAGTGCAGAAATGACCTTAAATATCAAAGGTTGCAGAAAGAGGCTGGCATAATGAAATACAGAGCCATAGAAATGGGCAAGGCAGAGAGAAAGAGACTGGCCTTTATAGTCTTTGCCACTGCACCCCTCTTTTCAGAAGGTGGGACTCATAAGTGTTAACCTGGCACCCTTTTACCCATTGAGAAGACATCTAACCCTGCACCAACTGTGCAGAATTTTAAAGTCAGGTTAGCCTTGCACTCATATTTAAAATGCTGATAGGGTTGCTCAGCTCCTAGATGTCTTGGCAGGACCAGCATGGAAGAGGAGCAGTCCTTTACCACCCATGGTCACATTGAAGAAGTTGGGAGCTAAGAAAGTGAATGAAATCAAAAGCAAGCTCAGCCTTGTCACCCCAAAAGACTTCTGATAGAGAGAATGTTGAACAAGTTGATAAATCATATTGCTGGACTCTTCCTGTCGATGTCCTTACAACATTCAACATGCCCTTCTCAGTGTTCGACACATATGGAACTGAAATTGCAACATCCTATTCAACCTGTACAAAGCAGCAGAAAAGCTCTCAAATCTTTAGAGCATTTCAGAAAGCTTTTCAGCTTCAAAGTTTTGGACACACCTGATTCAGTCCACTGCTTTGAAATGGATTCAGTTGGTGAATCTGCTTTGATGAGGTGATTCGATTGAAGCTTCATTGAATCAAATCCCCCATTCAAATCTTTGCACAGCTTTATTTAGTATTTATCTAACTGCATGCTACTGCTAAGTTCAGATCACCACTAGGTAGAAAAATAAGCCTTGAAGATGATTCCATGACCTGATTGTCTGCTAGCCTAGATGGTATTGGAAATCCTTAAAGGGTGTCTTGGTCTTGGCATTATAACCCTTCTGCTGTTATATTTCTTCATGAACCCAACTCTAAAGTAAGTTGATTAAAAATTACAGCACAGGAATATAAAATGAATAGGGTCTTCATTTGATCTGATACACAGACTGCATTCCTTGGTCGATAGACAAAAATATCTGAACCAGCATGGTTTTACGCAGAAAACTGTGCTCATTTTTCCTCTTCTACAAAATTCTGAAAGTTATACAAACACCACTTTCTTTTGCAGCAGACACCCTCGTGAAGCCTTCAGAAGAGACAACTTACCAGCTGCATTTTAAATCAAGGTGTTAAGCAAAGAGATAACAATATAGACAAATTATACTGCCACTGGATGCAAATTCAAGTAGCCATGAAAACTGGAGATAATTCTGAGATAAGCCCAGACAGATCTGAGAATCAGATATGGAAAACACTTAGTAATCAAAATACAGCTTATCAGTGAATTAGGAAGATCTAAAATTAATCAAATTAATCAAAGCTATAGAGCACAAGGCAAAAGGATCAGCTTCTATAAGGAAGTGGTGGCAGTTTTCAATCTCACATTAATGTATTTCACTATCACAGTTCATTTTCCTGTTTCCCCAAAAGACCCACCAGTAAAGGGCAAAGGAAAACACCATTCACTCACTTTGCAATTTCTGATGTTCTATGAAGGCCTGAATAGAGATCACGTACTGAGGGCTTAACTGTCCTTTTAAAGGCCGGGCGTTAAGTAACATCAGCTCCAATTTCTCAATCATATGACCTTACTGGAAATCTACATGGAACTCATCAGAGTGGATGGCAGATAAGAAAAAAAAATTCCTCATTTCTTGCAACTTGAGGAGAAGAAAGAATTGGTATTTTAGTGCACAAGACACAAGAGCTCAAAAATGCATACTATTTTGACTCTGCTAGAAGACTGACTAAGCTTAAATCACTTTAATACGTCTTCTGCTTGAGCTTGGGCAACCTGCTTGCCAGGAATAAGATTCAAGGCTCAAGTTTTCTTCAGTGTATTAATGGCCCTACTGGACTTAAAGAAAGTAATGGCAGAGCAGCTTTAGGAAATGGCTACCTATCATTCAGTTCCTCACTAGTGGCTCATTTACTCATTAAGGCACCACCTGAGGGACCACTGCTCCAGTCATGAACCTACCCAGCCATTAAGATCTGAAGGAAAAGATCTCTGAAGGAAGTCCCTCATCTTCTGACATGTCAGAGACAGATTTCTCCAGGACTGCTTGCGGACTATGGAATGCATTCCCTAGGGGCTGTTCCCCCACAGCATTTCATTCACATATTCATTCAAACTGATGCAGAAATAAAGGATCTCTATTAAAGGTGCTACAGATGAAGTTGGTACCAAATGAATCGAGGATGTTCTACTAGGTAGAGCTCATGCATTGTCTCATCTTTAACCCTTCCCATCATGATGGGCAGGAAAGCAGGACCAAGTTACCTGGTTCACATATGTATTTCTTCACATAATGCAACAGATATTCTGTCTGTCTGAACCAACAAATTTGTATTTATCTTCCTT